TGAAGCTAGTTTCCCACTCTCTGGGATAATCTCCACTTTCCACTGATGGCGTGAATATCTTAGGTGAAGACAGCGGCACGGCATGCTCACCATTTTTGATGAACATTGAGTTTGGGCCATCTGTCGATAGTCTCAGGCTTTCGATAGCCTCCGTTATACTTTTCGTAGCGAACCCCACTTTGGAGCATGTACTTGTAGTAAGTGGAGTGAGAGTGGTGGGGTTAAAAGCATCAGGGTAGAAAGTCGTGAATGATTCGCCAAATAGCCAACCAATCTGAGGCATCGTTGAGTACCATTCTACTGTGTAACAACTAGGCTACATCCGTTAATGACTGGAAACGTTTATTTTAAAAGAGACGTCAACCTGTGTACTCTAGAAACACTGAGAGCAAGTATCTCCGTTTACTGCGTTCCGTGCGTGCGGTGTTTCAATAGATTCTTGTGTTTCATAAGTTGGGTGAAGCCTCACGAAGTCTTTCGATGAGTGGTGTTGTGAGAATAAGTTCCCAAGGTTAATGAGGAATATTTTAGGGATACCTGAGTCTGAGTGCCCCCACGCCCTAACTATTTTCACAGGAGCAATGGTATCTGGACATAACTTTACATATCCATGGAGAAGGGAAAGTGTGTCTGTCAATGAAGCTGTGGTAAGGTGGTCACTCATACAGTGCACCTAGGGAGCTGGGTGAATACTTTCCATTCCATATTCTTGCTGCCTCGCTGCCGAGTATTACTTGGAGATCTGCTTTTCTCCTCAGGAGGAAGAATTGGTAAGCAATAGGGAGCCATTCTATAGCCACTGTTGGGGAATTCGCTACTTGTGTGGGTGTTGACATGGTTGATGCCGCAGCGAAAGACTAGATCCAGCGTACTATCTAAGCTCGCAGCTTTCTGGACGTACTGCTTCCACCTACAGACATCCAACAATAAGTATTTCATCAACGCTTTATCGGCCGCGACCGGCCTACCGGTTATCTTTGGGGCAGTCAGTCACCTGCCATCAGTTTGAAGTTGGTTATAACGCAAACTTTGAACACTGCGCGCTTTTGATATTGATGGTGGAACCTGTCTAAGAGATGGGAGATGAAAATCCATATCCATCTCATGAATTTCAGCAAATTTCGATGAGATTATGAACACTAATGTCTTGATGCTAATTATCTAATACTAGATACCAGTTCGTAAACTTTCAAAAATTATGAATTTGACGGTGTTTGTAAACTGGTATCCCTCATGCTAATCCCGTTTAATGAAGACAGCATTTACTATTATCTAAACTTTAACACTCTATGTACGCTGTAAAGTAATATTTCCTTGTTCATTTCATAACCAGCAGGACCTTCTGCAGTTTTTAATTGAGTTTAATGATATTCCGTCTGTACCACTCAGGGCCCAAGTCCTGTAGATATTCTGAGATGTATCAACGTGATGAAGCCTGCAAACTAGCTTCTCTCATGTTAAACTTTTTTAACATGGGAATAAAACATTATTTTTATCTATTTATAAGCAAAAAGCGGAGGACCTAGCACTGGCAAATGACCTGGTTATAAGCTCACCATTTTCTGTTTCGAACACTGTTTACTATACATGCAACCCGCATGGATTTTGTAGTTAATATCGTTTACAGTAGCCCAAAATGGGTCCGAAAAACTCACAGCGTGATATATGTATATATACCCGTCATTTGAACTGACAATTATACTTTGGTCTTCAGGATAAAACGGAGCGCACGTCCAGGCTTTTTAAAACCAGGACGGTACACACTCTTATCCTGTGGCGCGACCTCAGGGGTGTCTTCACCCAGGTGGGGTGCGTTTGGCGAACACCAGACCAAGTACAACATCCTTCTAATCTTCAGGGAGCGGCGACTGAGATAAGTGTGTCCATTGGTAAGGTTAAGAGTGAGTCAACAGTATTCGCCCACAGAGGCGAAATCCCAGTATGTAGTGCGTCTGCATCCAACATTTTGAAAACTTAAGGTTTTTGGGCAGCCATGGGACTGTCCCCTTTATGACCGGAGCAAATTCCACTAACGGTGTTCGTGCCAGTATTAGTACAGAAAGTCCCGTTGGTACTGTCGGCGGACCAGGCTAAAAACATTGAATAAATTGCTTCAGAAAGTGAACTTGCAGACACAGAGGTCACTAACTAACTTTTCGTACTCGTAAAAAGCCCGAAATTGAGAGATAAAAAACAATGAAGTTGGGTGACCAGCTAGAATACTTAGTAGTATTTTCAAAATACCAGAAGGCTTCGACTAACTAGCTACGGGTCACCTGCGAGCAACTCTACGCAGTACGAAAATGTGCCGGACGGTGTATATACTTAATAGTGTGCCTTCAGACTGATAAGTCTGCTAAACCTTTGAAGATCAGCATTAATGTCAAATTCTGCTGAACCCTAGGCTATCGATTTTCGGGAACCAATTTCCGCTGCTACAAGGTTATGAACTATGGATTCTGTACCATAAACTGTAGTCACTTTGACACATAACTCAGAAACTTAAGTGTTTGTGGTTCTAATGGTGGTTGTTGACGGAAGAGAAGAAGCTTTCGTTTAACTGGCTTCCGCGTCTACAGTCCGTGGATCACTACTCCTTTTGGTTTTAACCTGTTGTAGAAGTAAAGAAGGGTGAAAAAGTGGCGATTAAAATGTGAAAACTCACTTAGTTCTGGGCAGATCCCAGACACACATCAAGTAGGCTTCCAATCGGCTTTTAAAAGAGTCAGACTAAGTAGCCTAGATCACATCCTCAGGAAGAGCGTTCCAGGGTTTAACAACTCTTAGGGAATAGAAGTTGTGCCTGACATCCAGCCTGCTATGTTCCAGGCTTAGTTTCTGTGCATGTCCTCTAAGATTAGCGTTGCCGGTAAGATTTAATAAGTGTCGGAGTGGATGGCCGGGCGTACTCAGAATGTTGTAAATCATTGTCAAGTCACCTCTTGGCCTTCTGTATTTTAAAGGATACAGATCCAGCGCAACCAGCCATTCGTCGTATCTTTTGGACCTAAGTCCATGAACAGATTTTGTCGAACACCTCTGGATGCGTTCTAAGCCCAGTTTATCCTTCTGGAGACAAGGGGGGAAGACGATGGTCCCGAACTCAAGGTGAGGCCGTATGAGGCTGTTGAAAACTTGGTGGAAGCATCTACGATCGAATTGCCCGAAAATTCGCCTAAGAGTTACTAACGCCAAGTTCCCACGAAGTGCGTTTCTGTCACAGTTGGCATAGGATTTTAAGTCCTGGGGGACCAACACGCCCAAATCCTTTTCCGTCAGTGACGCTTCAAGTTCCATGCCGTTGAGGCTACATACACGAGATGCATCATGTTTTACGTGTATTACCTTGCATTTCTCAGGATTAAATTCAAGCCTGTTGTTGACCGCCCAACTGCGAAATCGAGTCAAGTCTCCCTGTAGGGAAACACTATCTCCTTCACTTTTGATTCCCCTCCAGAGTTTCACATCATCGGCTAAAACAAGGATTTCGAAGAGACCTGTTGAGGCAAGTCGTTTATGTATATTGGAAAAAGGAGAGGCCTTAGTACTGAACCTTGGGGAACACCACTAGGACATTCTGTTTCTTTAGACATAGAGAAACTCACCCGAACTCTAAATGAATGGCCCTGTAGATATGACGACAACCAGTCAATGAGCGGAGGTCGAATCCCAATTGATTTTAGTTTATCGATAAGACAGTGTGATCAACACGATCAAACGCCTTAGCAAAGTCTAGGTAGATAACGTCAATTTGTCCTCGACGGTCAACAATGCTAGTCCATCTATCTACTGCAGTGAGCAAATTGGTAATGCAGGAGTACCCCTTTCGAAATCCATGTTGTTGGGGTGCAAAGGAATTTATCTTCGTGAGGTAATCCCTCAGTCCATCGTGTATCAACGATTCCATTACGTTGGAAGGAATGGATAGAAGCGTCACTGGTCTGTACTTCTTTGGATTGCTCAGTTGACCCCCTTTGAAGATTGGCGTTATGTGGCCCAGCTTCCAAGAGTCAGGTACTGTCCCCTCACTCAGAGAACTCTTAAATAACTTACTTAAGGGTTCGGGCAAGATTGAGGCTCCCTCTTGCAATACCACCGGATGGATTTTATCTGGTCTCGGAGAGGTGTCTCTGGTTAGCAGTAGCAGTTTGCGCTGTACTAGCTCAACGCTTAGGTCGACCACTGAGAGTCCTACTTCGTCAGTGGGACATTTGTAAGCTCCTGAGTAGGTGGACGATGACGGAAAGATTTGCAGATACTGGTCGGCCAAGAGCTCAGCTGCTTCAGTGTCGCCATTAGTCAGTCCAATCGCACCTAGTAGTTGAGTGACTCTCGCTTTAGCCTGCTGGAATGAAGCAGCATAGCGGAAGAGACTTCTTGGGTTAGACACAAACATGTTTGTGAGCCTGACTTGATGCCGCTGCCGACCGGCTCTCAAAGCCTTCGTGCACATGTTTCTTGTCTGAATATTATTTCCACGTTTTCTGAAATAATGGGAGACAGACGTAGATATTTCTTCCCTAAAGACCCGTTTCGTAAGACCTAGAAGTGAGCGCGAAGAAATCAGTTGGTTCATACGATCTCGTAAAAGGTATTGGAAATATCCAGAAACTAAGCCTAGAACATAACACATTACATATCAGACGGAACATCTCTCAACCTAAGACTTATCATAGTTTGGAGTACTCCACCTGTAGGAGTGATACAGGCTGCTTCATCTGAATCCTTCAAACGCCGGATGTGAGTGCGATCTGCTGGGAATCGACTGAATTTCCAAATACCAACCGTCACTTTTGCTCTCTCTTTACCTCCACACAGGTTAACAACCAAAGGAACTTATGACACAAGGGTTCTGGATGCGGAAGCCAGTTAAGTGAAGGCTTTTAATCGACAAGCAACCATCTGAACAATTTTAAGTGACCTACAGGTGCGTCAGTACTACATTCTCAATGGATAACCTTCACCCAGAAAGACAGTAAACGTGCTACGCATGAATATGCATGAATGAAGACTTAGTAAGCATGACTAAGTTAACGTTACTACATAATAACTATATTTTCATGAGTTTGGCATTGCGGAAACATAACATAATTCAATCCTGATCGAGACTAAATACATGATTTTAGTTTGGAAGCGAACCACTTCTGTGAAGTGACGTAGAACCCAAGGGACCGTCGTTCACTAATTCTTCAAGAAGTTTGGAGTGTAATACCATTCACACAGGATATTCTGGAGGGACGCAGTAAATAAACCACGATTACCATAAGCCTGTTTCCCTTTCATCCCCTCTCCCCCGGAGTTTTGCGAAACTTCAAGTGGACATGAAAATACACCGTCAGGATTTTTACGGAATCTTGCGTTTATCCCCCGAAATTCTCCAGATTTTTTAACTTCTACGTATTTCCTTAAGCTTGCACATCTTGCCTCAAGATTCACGAAAATGGTGGTCCAAAAATGTTTTGGACGTATATATGCACAAGAATAAGTATATATATGTACCTTAAATATATTTAAAAGGTATTTTGAGTTCACAACACTTCCTTTCATTAGTTAACAGCGAACATATAGTGCTAACCTTTGTTTTTCGGACTAATGAGTTTGGTTATGGCACTGCTTCCCCTAGACCTAATATATGGCGCACAGATATTTCCAGTATAAGGGATTGCGCAGTCAGTAAGGATTGGACTGTCGACAAGGACTTATCAATTGGGACGCGTGGAATAGGTTTAGGACTCTATTTGAAGAGGTAACGATGCTATTTATCCCATGTTCGACTCTACGATGATCCTCACATTGCCCTCCTTGGTTTAATGAAGACATTAAGAAACTTTTAAGGTGGAGGGAACGTTTATGAGACTCGTTTCTAGAAACTAGACTGGGAACATTTAAGACAGTACTGTAAAGTCCGTAATCTCTGCAAAACTTTAATTACACACTCTCGAACGTCCTACGAGAAGCAGCTTGCGAGGGGTTGCCGAAATTCTTCTAATAAACTGTTCGCATTCATCAGAAGGAGGACTAAAGAAAGATATGGAATTCCCTCTCTGGAGACATGAAAAGGCCGATAGTCTGGTGGAATCAAATTTGTCCAAAGCTGGATGTCTTTCGGATTACTTCAGTGAATTCTACTCTGTAGATCATGTCGATTGAGTGCTCAGTAGTGGTGCCAGCACTGTTCCACTAATAGATACACTGTTCACAACAAAGGAAAGAGTCCCACAGTTGCTCATTAATCTTAAACCTAGAAAATCCTCGGGTCCTGATGAGTTACATCCCAGACTTCTGTCTTCGCTAACAGACATTATTGCTGAGCCAGTCATGGATCTTCTCACTATGTCCCTATCTAGGACTCACCTCCCTAGAGACGGGAAGAATTCCACGATCTGTCCAGTTTCTAACGTGGGTAATTGTCAGGTGGCTAACTGTCGCCCTGTGGGTCTAACTAGCATGGTTGTTAAGGTTTTAGGAGAAGTAATTCCTGATAAGGTACTTAAACATGTTGAGTCGACTGGTCTTTTTGCACCACAGCAACATGGTTTTCGTACTGGACACTCGTATTTAACAAACCTTATAGCGAGAGAGAATGGGTTGCAGCCCGTGATTGCAAGCTGCCAATAGATACGTGTTTATAGACTTCAGTAAGGCATTCGACAAAGTGTCGCATGTAGAATTACTAGGGAAGCTCTCCTTTTTCGGGTTTGTTGCTTCACTGCAGGCCTGGATTAGGAACTTTCTGTACGATAGAAGGCAAAGAGTAAGGGTAAATGGGATACTGTCCGGATGGAAACATGTGATGAGTGAAGTTCCTCGAGGAACAATCCTAGGTCCAGTACGTTTCTTGTTATGTATCAGCGAATTACCAAGAATGCCAACTTTTGGTGCTGCTAGTGGCCGATGGCGTGAAGATTTGGAGAGTCATACTCAGTGATGCAGATAGGTATGTATTTCAAACGGATTTGGATGAACTGGTGGGTTGGTCCAAACGTTGGTGCCTAGAAATCAACTCTAACAGAAGTACAATAATGCGCATTAGTCATAGCAATTGTTTCCAGTATTCCGTTGATGGTGCACCACTATTCCAAGTCTTTGAACTAAAAGACTTGGGTGTCATCATTAGCCATGATTTGAAAACCTCGGCAAACTATAATGCAGCTACAGCAAAGGCTTCTGCGTATTATGGTCCATCCTCAGAGCTTTCAAAAGTTTTGATCAATATGTGTTCAGAATACTCTATTCTACTTACCTTAGACCTCACTTGGAATACTGCATTCAGGCTGCCATCCCATGCCTAAAAAGGATGCTGAGGTACTCAAGCGTGTTCAAAGGGTAGGTACTAAGCTTGTTGCAGGCCTTTCGAATCTGTCCTATGAGGAACAACTAGATCAGCTAAACTTATTCCCACTATCTTACCGTAGGAAACGGGGTGGTCTCATACTGTCGTTTCGTATTCTTAGTAATGACTTCGGTGCTAGGACTGACTATTTCCGAGGACATCACAAGAAAATTCAAAAACCGTGATCGAATCAACTTAACGTTAGTCTGCGTTTCTCCCATCGTGTAGTCAACGACTGGAATTTCTTACCTCACCAAGTAGTATCAGCACCTTCTGCAAACGCGTTCAAGGAGAAAGTAGATCTTCACAGAGATATCTTCTGCAAGGATTAACACAAAGCAACTGGCCTACTATCTTTATAACTGAAACTGAGGATAGAACATAGAGTAGAGAGACCCAGTCAACATTTCCGCGTGGTAAACCTCGGGGTAAAACGTGGTATTGTGCAACATTTCCCCGAGTTCTTAACCCCCATGTTTTGCGCCTCGTTCCCCCGAAAAATGACCCATGTTTAGAAACTGGCCCCGCGTTTCCCCGCGAAAATGGTGACTGGGAGCTTAGAAAGATGGGGCGATAGGTATATAGGAACTTTATATAAAACATGTTTTTGGTAGTCAGTGATCTGAGGCCGCTATTCGTACGACTAGCAGACTTGGAGGATGTCGTAAAACACAACCTAATAACAACTACGCAGTATACGGCTTCCACACCCAAACTGTTTCGCATGTTTTGGTCGCTTCTCAGAGGATTTAAATACTTGGTAAAGATACATTTGGGATCCAATACTCTACTTATGTTGGGCCTCAAAGCACTGTGTCCATGCATTAAAAACAAAGTATGTTAGAAAAGGTCAGAGGTGTTGTCACTGCAGGTCTTGCTCACCTGTATGAATAACTAGTGGCAAAACTAAACTATTTTCTCTTGTCCTATCGTAGTAAAAGGTGATCTAGTTTCGGCTTTTCTTATCTTAAGTAATGACTTAGGTAATGCCTTATGTAATGTTTAATCTCTCTAGAACTGATCACTTTACACCATCATAAAAAGATCCAATCGCCTACTAGTGGAGTACCGTTTCTCTTGCAAAGTGATCAACAACTGGATCGCGTTGCTAGAATAAGCGGTAGATCGTTCAGTTAACATATTAGAAATAAGTTTGGATCTTCATATAGATGACTTCTTCAGGAATTAAAGCAAGCTAGTGGTGTGCTGTCGTTTTCACTGAAGACAGGTTATGACTTGAGCGGGTTAAGATGTTAGGGCAGGTGTGTAGTTAGCGCGTTAGTGAGTTGCATGTGACCAAAGGCAGTTAGTAACAGTTTTTAAAACGCTTACTCTTTTTATCTTACGATGTTTTACAGTCCAGTATTAGGCTTTTACGCACACCTGATGCCAGGTAGTATCTAGACTAGGGTTTTCTATCACTCAGTCTACGTTTCTCAAAGCAAGTTCAATATCAATCCGACTATATAAATGAAACTAGGGTAAATTCCTGGCCGACGAAATGATTGTCTTTTTCCACCTGGTTAGCGTTTTAGTGACGCTAAGTTCAAATGCGAAGCCAGTCCTGTGTTAAACAGGTAAGCGAACTTGTAGAAATTAAATACTTTAACGGTATTTTCTCCACCTTTTATACTTGGATGGTCTTGGATTAAAGCACATGGCCCAACATTTATCACATACCTGCACCATACGGTTTTACAGCAGTGGCATTCAAGCACCTGTAGGTTTGCACCTAAACAAAGGCATAAAAGCTACATCAAAAAGACCATTTTAAACGCAGCTTGATAGTGTGATGGACTGGCTAGAAAGTTATCGGTACAGAATAATGTCACTCATCCAGAAGAAGCCTGCTGCCAACTCCATTCTGCTGTGTTAACAGCGTAAAAAACCGTATCTGAATTTCTAAGAGCTTAGAAGAGGTCAATTAATCTCAGACAGACAGAATCCACGTGGAACCTTGCATACAAATGCATTGCATCAAGCTGCCACAATTCACGGTAATATACAAAGTGAGGTGGATAGAATAAGAGTGACGTCAAAGTAGACAAAGTTGTATGGGAGAATAAACAGTTGGAAGATGAAGGTTAGTGCAAATATTCAAGCTTCAGAAGATATCAGAGTGAATACACCCGCTCCACTGCGACCAATTTGCAGTCATGTCACCAAGAGTTCTCAACCACTAATTCCTATCGTTTCTGGGACCCCAACCAGATAGTCTGCATCTCCTTAGACAGCTCAGACCAAGAGTCAGGGACTTAATTGATTGGTGCCACGTATTGGTCTGATCACCCAACCTAATCCAACTTCTCCCAGCATGCCACGTCGAGGTAGGCGGTGACGGGATACACAGTACATGTCCAAGCCATCTCAGCTAATGAAGGTTCTCAACGTCTTCAGTCGACTTGCTTGTCGTGCCTCATACTCTTAGCCTGGCCTCAACATTGCTCACATGGGGATTGCACTAAACATGAACAATGCTACGGAGACGCGTATAATGAAAAACCTGTAACCACTTCATGTCCTCTACTTCCAACGATTATGCCAGGCGTATAACAGGATAGAGTGGACTGCGGGGCAATATACTGGTCTTTTAATAATTACTAATATCTTGTCGCTGCCCATAGTGTAGTAAGTGAACATGTATCAGGTTGAGTTGAATCGAATTTTAATTCTGAAGTTGTAGACTGAATCTGTTGTGGATGTAGGATATTTTATTGATCATTCGAGGAAGCTTCTGGTGTATATTAATATTTTGTTATATATATATGCAAGCATATGTAGTTCCTGCTTGGTTTATGAATGGTGTTCAGAGCTTGGTTTCTCTTTTTCTCTCTGCATTTGTCACCTAGGCAATGGAACTTCGCAGTAACCCTAGTTTAGTTATTCCCTATGGATCTCATTCCTCAGGAAAGTGTGGTTACTGTAAACATAATTCTCATGAACAAAAAACCACATGGGGTATGCTAAAAATTGTCAAATACATTTGTATATTTGACTGAAAGGTATGATGGCTGAACGACTCACTGTATCCGACTATCAATATCTGATTGATCGAGGATGGCGCCGGTATGTCCAAGGCTATTATTATTTTGTGATGCTAACAATGCATTTCAGTTCAGGTGCTTATTGTTATAAACCGTTGAACCAGATTACCTGTTGTCCAGCATATACTATTCGATGTGATGCTTTACACTTTCGCTTAAAGCGATCACATAAACGAGTGTTGAAAAACATGTTTGATTTCTTAAAGTTTGGGAAATTACCTCATAGCAAGATTTTATCATCTCACCAAGTAAAGGATGCTACTTCTTCACTGGACAACAATCCAGAAATGGATGATCATCGTGTTTTCATTCCCGACAAAAAAGATCTTTCTACGCTATCGCCGCTAAATGGTGAGTTGATGCTATTTCGTCTTTATTGGAAATTTTTCTGTTTCCCTCCGAAAATTGTATCCCAATTACTAATTTTGGCGTCACTCTGTTAACTTCAAATACGCATCTACCGAAACACATTGCACTAAATTGGGTTCTAACCCATGTTTCACTCATCGAAGGCAGAGAACCTAGATGATTGAGTCATTATATTATTATTATTTATCCCTTGGACTCCTAGTGGAACATACGGCTTCAGTAGCACGTCGCCAGTTCACTCTCTTCTCTACAGTCTTTTCAACCTGGCTCCACGTCCGCCCAGAAGCTTTCATTCCTTCCCCCTTTCATTCCTCCTCCATGTCACCCTCGGACACCCAACTCGTCGTTTCCCCTTTGAGTTCCACTTGATGGCGTGGCTTGGGGCATGATGTCTCCGAATGGTCTTCTCAGTGTATGCCCAATCCATCTTCACTTCCTTCTGCATATTTGTTGGGCGATAGGTTCTTGGTTGGTTCGTTACTAGGGTGAGTTCCTTGTTGCTTACTCTTTCTGGCCATGTTCAGTCGGACTACTTATGTTGGATTTGATCGATTTCAATTGACATCATTTCATAAACTACTGAAAACCATAGAGCACATTATTCAGCTGAATAGTGATTCAGTTCTTGTTGATGACTCTCTTTGACTTAAATTTCCTGAAGTCTTATGTAATAAAAAATTGTAGCCTTCCGGGTCAATCGATTAGGTCATAGAAGTAGGCATTCACTGGGAAAGTTGGATAGTCGTCACGTTGTATCACAAATTAATAGATGTTGTAAAATGTGAATCATTAGTTTTGATTCGTTGTCTGGGATGCATGGCCATGTCTTTATCGCGGAACAGGATTTTGAGCGTACTTCAGTGCATCTTTATTGATGTACACTGTTGAGTAGTCTTGCTGTAGGAAGCGACTGTCCGCTGACCTCTGATTTTTAAAGACTTTAGCTTATATTAATCTGTAATATGAACTAAGGAATTGGTGAATTACATTATTACATTACTATAGAGTAGGTAAGGGTTAGAATCTCACTGTCACTCACTTAGACATATAACTAAATTCAGCTGATGGGCTTCAAAGCGAGTAAAACGCATATTCTTTATTTCATTGTTAGTCATTGTCAAACAAATAACCCCAGAATAAAAACTAATATCTCTTAGAGATATAAACTGTTGCTTCACACTATGTGATAGAATTATAAAGGGATGAAATAATTAGTGGTAGTAGAGAAAAACAAAATCTTGAGTCTTCTGCAAACAAGTTTTCTTCAGCTGATTTGATGACTACTGCCCATTTTTGTTCTCATTGACACAGTCTGTACTTTCAGTTCAAAACAACTTCGTTGAACGTCCACAACCTAATCTCCTGAAACTTTCTACTTAAGGAAATATGAACTTCTGTGAAATATTGTTCACCTATGCATGTGTTTGGTACTTTTCGTTTTTTTTTTGGATGTTGGCATCAATATCATTTTGTTAAAGTACTAACTACATTGATTTTCGTTCCTATTATATATTGAGAATTGATGAAAATTGGGGATAACAAATTAATATATAAAAATCGATGAATGTCGTTCATTCGGTTCCAAACCAGTGGCTAGATTATTACGTACCCAAATATGCTGGCATAGTTGAAGGTTGGATGAATCCTCTCGTCCTTTAAAAATGCTGTCATACGATCATACGTTCATGTCCTCTGCTAGGCAAAGTCTTTCGCACTATGGAGTTGTTTCCATAAAAACAAAAGGGTGAAAGCAAGTGTCCTTGGTTTATCAGTGAAATGATGGATACAGAAAGTTCAGGATACTCTGGTTTTAAGCAGGCTATGCAGATGAGGTCCGTGATCTAGAAAGACATTATGGCGTACAAACTTGCTTCTTCCACCAGCAACTTTGGGGTGCAACACCTGTTGTTGCTGTACCGCCTTGTGGATTAGATTTTAAGTCAGGAGCTGTGGCTCATTGGTTTAGAGAGGTAACTGTCCACTAGTGGGTCGTGGGTTCGAGCCCCGCCCCACCTACTGTGGTTTGGGTAGCCAGACAGTATCACTAACACTCACACAGTAGATGTGGCTCGTCACCTGCTGCAAGGACGTCCCCAAGGTTGCTGAGTGCATTTTGAGTTTTCAAGATTTCAAGTCAAATGCTAGGAAATTAGTATTTTAAGACATCTACTCTCTTCTGTTTGGGCTTTCATGCGGTATGTAGGCTGTCGTACGGTGGAATGACGCCTGGAGGTGGTCGCGTTTGGATTACAGGCTTGGAAAACTCATGCTCCTATCCAAAGTGGATGCTGTCACACTTGAACGAAATAGTCGCTCATTGTTGTGTAGTCTTTTGCGATTAACCAAAGGTAAGAACTATTCATACAAATGAGTCCATCTATATTCTCTTAGTTTAATAACATTATTGCCTATTGAAAATCCTAGATAGTTCGATTTTATGATTCTGTTTCTTTTCTTAGTTACTGCACTTCAACAAGGGAAGAAGCAAGCAAAAAGTCATTCAGATGTCTGTCGAACAGATTGTTCTGGGGATAAGGAGATTTTATCATCACTTGATGAGCATCCTGCTTGTTGTGACTTCAAACCAAAGACTGGTCACGTCAACCCTGGTGCTACATCACCTAAAGGTGCTGCAGGTGATGAAGTTGACGATTCTCGGCTTAGTATTAGTAGTAATAAAGTCATGAAAGCTCGTACTCGTCGATGGATAGCAAAACAAGAACATTTACGTCAACGAAGTGTGAAAGAAAACTGTCCATTCAAAGTTATACTACAGGTATCTTTTTCTACTGAAATGCTAATTTCTTCCTTTACGGAAAAATTATAATTATAACAACAACAAGCTTTTATCATTGTACAGTGCAGATTTAATTTTTCAGCCATCACTTTTATACAAGTAGAACTAAGCAGTGGATTGGGTAACGTGGGATGCTGCATAGTGTCGTGCTAATAAACAATATGGATAAGTATCTAAATTATCCCTTAATAATAAAAATGGATAATGTTTTTGATAATGGCCCTGTTCTTCAAATCCAGGTTGAGCTATTAAGAGGTAGTGATAGTCTCTACACAAGTGAGACTTATTGTCTAGCGTGTAGGATTGTCCCTTTCCGTTGAACAGCGAGATTCTGGCTGGTTAACAGTCACAGCTCATTGATTTTGGCAGGTGATTTTAAACCAGCGAGTCATAGATTCGAACTCTGCTCTACCTGCTGAGGCTTGAAAAGTAACAGCAATGTTTCGTTGCCTAGATCAAGAAACTATATTTGGTTTCTCTGTTGGTCATAAAAACGTGTAGACAGGTAAGTTATTTCTTAGAGTTGTTAGTGTATAAGCACTGTAAAAATTAGTATACGTTTAAATGTTTATGATTCTATACGGGGAATCTCCGCAACGTTTTGTAATAAATTGTTCGTTTATCATGATACAAGTGCCTGGAGCTATGACTCGTTGATCTAGACTTCGACACTCAACCCATGAACCACGGGTTCGACCCCTGGCGACGTCATGGGTGCACACTACTGAGGAGTCCCATAATAGGGCGAGATGGCTGCCCAGTGCTCCCAATTTTTCAACAGTTCTCCAACTGATGTCAGTCTATGATGAATACCTACCTGAAGTCAATAAATAAATGCTCACTAACCCCCAAACCGAATAAATCTATGACAGTCAAGGCCGTATGATGACCATGGCAAAGCCAAAGGTTGAACATAACTTTCTTGGACACAGCGCTCATTTGAATTTCTGAATGACTAGTGCTTTAGCCGTACCTAAATACCTTGATCTTACTCCCTTCGAGTGGTTTGGACGAACCCTATAGAAGATTTTGAATGAGTTCTCAAAAGAACCTGAGTAGCCCGAGTCCACAAGGTGTTTTGTTATTGAGCTGACAATTATTTCCGCTCTTCCCTTTCTAGTCGGGCAGGATAGTGTTCACGAGCACGTTTTACAAGCGGACACATGGTACGGCCTATGTACTCAGCTCCGCAGGAGCAAGTAGAACGGTATACACCTATAGATGTAGCCCGATGCGTCACCGCTTCTTTGGTATATGGACCCAAACGTTTCTTACGAGAGGTTTATTCCATATTGCGTAATTGTATTTTTCATTATCATAATCCCTTACTGGTTTTCCTGCTCTAAACCTTCATTGGTATTAGTTAACTTCTCGTTATTCAGTGTATTTTGATCCCTGACCCGGAAATACTCCTGGAATATTCTACGCACTGTAATATACGTTCATGATTGTACAGCTTAATAAATGACTTCGTCGAAAAGAAAAAAAATTCATCGCTCCAACCACCTTTTTGTCTTTTCCAATGTACTGTGAGTAACCTCCCTCTTTAGACCACTTCAGCAACTTAATCTCTTGGTCCAATCTTCTTCAACTGCATAAAAATCATCCAGAGAGCGCCATTTCTAATATTCGTCTAAGAAATTCGAATACGTTGTGAACTTTCATCTGAAGTATACTTCTCCTTCAACTGAATTATCTTTAAAAATTACCTATGAAGTCAAACCAAACTATTCGGTAACCAAATGTTGGCAAAAGATTCTGCTAGTGTACAAACTGAGTAGTTACAAACCACTCAGGCTGATCTGTAGTATTTCGCCAGGCAGACCAGAGTAATCTAAACACTGGACGGCCATTTCGCTCATTTGAAACCGAGCTCATCAACGGTGTGTCCGGACAAATTCAGCTCACAGAGTCAAATTAGTTCAAATCATCACCTCACTGGTTTCTAAGTACTCTTGTTATCCAGTAGTAGTATTTTTCGCTATTCCATGACATTTTTGTGAGAGATCACACCCTGTGATCTCACTTGAGTAGTTTCTAGGGGAAACCCTGTTGACACCACAGTTGGGTGGTTAAAAAACTACTCAGGTGTGAGAGATGTTAACGTGGACTGTGCAATTTGTAAGTCATTTTCAAATTGTTTATTCTATTCCAAGTGTTAACAATTATTTGATTCACATATGAATTTGGTGCGAACAAAGTGATAAATTATGTCACTGATCTTCATAATTCTCGTTTATTTTTCATCGTAACAGTATAAGTTGAACATTGTGCTAGTCTATACTTTCGTTTTTGATGGTGTTGTATTCTTTGGACTGAATTGTTTAGTCGTGAAGCTTTTATTTTCATTCTAAACAACATCATTGGCCGCACAAACTTCGTGTTTAATTCATTTGTTGGATAGGATATATCACATAGTGGAATAGTGTTATTTGGTAGCTTTCCGAATATTTTTTTGGCGCATAGCTGCCATATCAAACGTAATTCCATAGGTTTTAAAAACGGTTTATATAGTTCTGTTTTTTCTTCTTTTGCCATATAAGTAAAATTTTCTAGGTATTTGAAATAGTTGTTGAGTCATTCAGATTGCATACATTCAGTGTGGATTTGACAATAAATAAGGCTTCAATTATCCGTCTTTCCCTACTTCCATAAAGAACTACGTTAGCTTTTTAGAATTGTCACTTTTTCCCAACCTGTTGTGTAATTATCATTCTGATAATCTGAGATAGCAAACTAATATTGATACTAGACGATGATTGAAAGTGAAATGAAAATCTGAACTGCGACCGGATTCGAACCAGCGACCACCAGGTTTCCGGCTCGGTGCTCCACCAACTGAGCTACAAGGTCGACTGCTGACCATTTCACCTTCAATCATCATCCAGTGTCAATACTAGTCTGCCACACAATAGCTATCTCAGATAACCAGAATGACAATCAATATGATGCTCTCCCTCTCTAATTCAGTTAGATTGGGATGAGTGTGAGTACGATCAAGTGATAGTAACGCGTCACGAATTAACAAGTTAGTCAGGCAAAACCCTTAGTGATTGAAGTGAAGTGAGGACCTGGTCAGCAGTCGGGCCTTGTAGCTCAGTTGGTGGATCACCGGGCTGGAAACCCGATGATCGCTGGTTTGAGTCCGGCCGCAGTTCAGATTTTTCTTTTCACCTTCAATCATCACCCAGTATTGTATAATTATTTAAGATTTCACACATTTTTGATGTTGAAGTGAAGGGTAAATTTTATTCCAACCATTATCCGGTTGTAAGGTGTTTCAAGTGTCATGTATCTAACAGGCAAACTGACATTGGGATTTAGTTCTCATCACGCTTACCTTCATTGTACCTAGTTCTTTCTGCCTCTCTCTGCAACTAATAATGATATAATTGATAATAAGAGTGTTGAAAATGGTGAACTAGTGCAAACAGACGTTTCAACAGGTATAATATGTCAAAAAAACTTTATCTTTTTAACCTAATAATTATCTCGTTGTAGGTTCAACCACTATAGAATTTTAATATATTGGTCATATCTACCTCTTAAGCGTATTATGAGAAAGAAGCAGAAGGTAAACAACATTTGCTTATAATTATCGATTGTATTTCTTACAAGCACCCATCAGTGTATTTGTCTTTTTCTAGGAATACTACACAAGACGTCAGAAACGCCTGGAGAAAAATAAACCAAAAGAAGTAGAAGATTTTTTACAGTGTGAACCAGTCAAAGGTGAAGCGAAGCACTTTATTGAAGTATGTTTTTCAAAACTTATTATTGTTATATTCATCTGTCTTCTATTCTCATGTTTCCAATTCGTTTTGATCAGTACTAAAATTATGAGATGTACATTCCATTCTGTCTGTGACTTGTTTCTTTCTTACTGTTGATACCCGTATTCGAGTGCATATAATGGCATTCCCACTGTAGTTTACAAGTATAACCCATCATTTCATTAGATTATTGCTTATTAATATGAAGCGTGAATATATAGCTCATTCCAGGTAAATGATATATTGTTAGACTATTTAAATTTCAGAAGGAACCTAATGGTATACGTATGAACTTTAACTTAAATTTACCGATAGTCTATAAGGAAGGTGGTGAGGATTGTGACTTTCTGCTTATCTGTTAAGTTGACATTACGTCTAAGTTATGTTTGTATGAATTTCGGTGGGTTTTAAATAAACTGAACAGTCTGGTCGTAACTTAACTAATATTAGGTCTAAGATCCCAGGGTCTATAGTTATGCGACGGCTAACTGGAGCTTGAGAACAGCAAACTCGAAAAAACCAGGCAGGTTTCAGACCTGATCAAGGGTGCATTGATCATATTTTCACCCTCTGACAGATTCTGGAACACAGGCATATCTACCGACTATATTTCTTGACCTAAAGGTGACATTTGACTCTATCGACGGTGGGGTGTTTTGGGAGTGTCTAACTGTGAAGTGAGTAACAAAAAAGTATGTAACGCTTATCGAAGCTCTCTACTCGAACTCACGTAGCCGTGTTACGGCCTATGGAAAGTTGTCAAGTGAGTTGACGACAATTAGTGGTGTCCTGTAGGGATGTCCACTGTTACCGTTCTTATTTAACTTCGTCATGGATATAACCCCATGTACGTCCGACTTCATAGGGATTCACCTACTTCCTGCAGGTTATCTGGTTAATGTGGGATGTGCAAACGATATTGTCCTGCTAGGTGAAGACGCCGATGCAATAGGGAGTATTCTGAACGCATTGAGCAGAAATCTGTGTATGTTTGGTATGCGTTTCGCACCTGCCAAATGTAAGATGATGCTTCAGGACTGGTCTGCTAAAAGTACTCCAAGTTTAAATGATAGGGAATCAAGTGGTGGAATGTGTCAACAACTTCGCTGAACAAATCTCAACTCGGATACAGAAGGCCTATTTGGCATTTGCCAACTTGCGTCACCTATGGCGTTGGAGAGATAATCGACTATGTATCAAAAGAGGAGTATACTGCGCTGCAGCCCGTTCTGTCTTGTACGGCTGTGCGACATGATCGTTAAAAGTAGAAGACATGAAGCGGTTGCAGAGTTTTCATCACCTATGTCTTCGTAGCATTGCTCTCATGTGGTGGTTGAATCACCGTGTGAGCAATGTTGAGGTCAGGCGAAAGGTACTAGGCAACTCGATTGAAGAGGTTGTGAATGTTAGTCGACTGGCTTGGATGTGTACTGCGCATGCCGAGTCACCGTCTACCTTGACGTGGCATGCTAAGGGGAGTTGAATTAGAATAGGAAAGGGTTCAGGGTGACTAGACCAAGAAGTGGTACCAGTTGATAAACTCCGTGACTGCTAATCTGAGCCATGTGGGGAGATGTAAACTACCTGGTTGGGGTGACAATCGGGCAGATATATTAACTCCTTGACATGTAAAGCTTGAATGCTCTCATTAACGTTTATCTTCAGATTGTTTATTCTGTCACACTATTCTGTCTACTCTGATTTCACTCTTTTTCTATTCACCTGTTCTTTGTGTACTTCTGTGAATTGTGGGAACTGGAGCCGATTCTCTTGAATGCGAGGTTCTATGTTAATTTTGTCAGTCAGTCAGTCGGATATTTGGAATGTGCTCACATATATACAAATATAACTTACATCTTATTTTAACTTTTTATTCGACGCACAATATTTCCTGCGAAATAGATTCCACTGTTTCAATGGGTTTATTTTCCGCTCGTATTCACCCTTTCGAGCCTGAGAACAAGGTTGAATATATCCTTAAAACTATTTTTTTACAACTTGTTTGTAAAGTAGTGCTAATTGAAAGCAATTTCCATTTACCTATCTTGTTCTAGCTTTTTAAGAACGGGACTGTTTAGTTTTTTTAAATCACTTGAGGACCCTAATGCATGGAAGTCATTCAACGAGTTCCCGAACTGCAACGCGAGGCTCACCGAAACGAAAACATCATTAAAAAGTTACTGATGAATAAATACAAGTTGAATGATATTTGAAATTAAATCAGAATTTTTTACATTATAACAATGAAATGGACTCCATAAAATTACCTATCTTCGATGTAGAGCGAAATGTATGACAGAAAATTCACCGTCGATGATCTACAGCAAATTAATGTACAAATTTGTTGATTACGTAAATACAATCTTTGAAAACAGGACTGAAAAGAAAAAAAAATGATTAAGACTAGTTAGTTTATTAAAAAAATCAATCAATCAATCAATACTAACATAGGACCAGGCATTACTGCATAACGGTCCGAGTTGCCACACCTCATATCAGCACATCAAGTAGAAAGGCAGTGAGGTGAAGGATGAAGATAAGTGAATGCAGTCAAAAGAAATATAAAGTACGAGAAGAAAGAAAAGAGGAATAACAAAATGGTGAGATTCGGTATAGTGTCGTTAAGATGAGGATAATGTGTGGGGATACATCTGCGCCACTCACATCGGTTCTGAGCCATGTGATCACCTAGAGTCTGCAACCACTGGTTTCTCTTGTCCCGCCGACCCCAACCACCTAGTCTGCATCACCCCACATGGCTGAAACCAACAGTGAGAGACTTCATACATTGGTGCCATGTTTTAGTCTGACCACCTCAGGCCTTTTTATATCCTGGACCTACTTCAGCCAACATTGTGTGACGAGGCAATCGGTGACTGGGCATACGTAGTACGTGTCCCAACCATCTCAGTCGATGAAGATTCACAACCTCGTCAATTGACTTACCTCTTCTCCCCAAAACTCTACACCTAACTTCATCATTACTCACATGGTGACACTACGGAATACGTCCTATACTACGAAGGCAACGGTGATCAAACACCTGAAGCCTTTTTGTATCCTCCACTTTCAATGGCCATGTTTCACAGCCATAGAGTAGAACAGAGCGGACTGCTGTTCAGTACACGCGACCCTTAATAGACAAACGAATATCACGGCGGCGCCATAGGTGACGTAAATTGGCAAAAGCCAACCAAGCCTTTTGTATTTGTGCAGAGATTTCATCGGCCACTGAGCCACCAGAGGTGATCCTACTTCCCGGATAAGTGAAGTGGTCGACACACTCAATCACTTCACTGTGTATTGTTAGCCGCAGTGGGGCACCGCTGAAGACCAGTCCTGGAGCAAGAATTTGCATTTGGTTGGTGAGAACCGCATCTTAAACATTCTCTAATTGCCATTCAAAGTGTTCAAAAGACTCTACATCTTGTCAGCGTCTTCACTTAACAGGACTATGTCATTGCATATTCTAGGTCTAACGGAAATTTATCATTATTATTATTTTTTTTTATTGAGAAAACCAAAAGTCGGAAAGAAAATTCCCTTCAGATCTTAGTCGGTTTGCTTACAGTATGTTAATAGTACAGCTACGGCTCATTGGTTTAGGTGGTTACATTTTGTTAATGAGTTATGGATTCAAACACCGCGCTCCACCTACTGGGGTTTCGGAAATTAGGTAATATATAAATAATCCTCATTACTTACTGAATGAATATGCACAAGATTGCTGAGTGCATTACAATTTTTTCCTTATAGTTTTTCGGGTATAAAATTGAATAATGTTCAATTAAAGATTTCATCTCTGTATCCGAATTGTGTCATTTCACCTACAATATTAACTGACTGAACGCGAATGTACAATTGAAAAACTTTTTTTCAGAAACAAATCATCTTATCCCATCACTCAAAAATAGTTATTGGCTTTGGAAACTTTGTACAAATATTTTTCTTTCATTTTCCGTAGTTGTTTGATGCTGCAATGTGTTATAGGCCTCTTAAGAACAATGTTTGTACTCAACATTTCTTATAACTTCTAGGATGATTGTTATTGTAGTCTATGCTCTTCCTGTACACTTAACTTTATAACTTCTTGTCATGTGTTCTCCTGATGAGAACATCTTAATAGCTTCCCTATCTTTTATGAAATGAATTTTTTCAAATGTTTTTGGTTGATTAATATGTGAACATGTTTTCTATTTTCGTCTTCATGAGAACTATATGTCATCAACTTGCCTAATCCTAACTATTGATTCTAACTGCTACATCACTGCTTCAGCAAACAATCCTGATGTCAACTATCCTTTAGGTTTTCTTTTTGTTTGTTTGCAAGTCTCCGCATCAAACTGTAATTACATTGTGAGAACTATATCAATCAACTTTATTAGGTTTGGAACAGTGATTTTCACATAGTCTGAAAGATTTTGATCATGCTTCAGAACAATATCCATTGTTTCTTTAGCTAAATTTGGTTGCAATCAAATCAAGCAAATTCATATTATTGGCTTAGAATTTACAACTGGTCAAAGGTTGATGAGTAAAAAGACATTCTCAGTTTCCTAATACTGTTTTGACTATACTGAGCTGCATTACCAATATGTCAAAGTTACCTACAATACCTCCACAAAAGCCCCAGATATCTGGTAGCAGAGATTGCTTAAAAAGCTTGCATTGCTTAATGAACACATTCTGAGAGTGGATATGCCTGCTATATACCCCATAGATAAATTCATTTGTATAAAAAACTGTTATCCTCGAGGCGAGATGACATTTGATTCAGGTAGTGGCAGTCTATGGCACGTATGAATTCTGAGCATACTGACATAGTCCAGCCTGTGCTTGTGTATCATACTTTATTTCACGGTTGCCCAGTAACTGTCATTACACAAACGCTGAAAATCCACATTTTCCACGAACCACTTTATGTTAAACAATTGAGAACTGTAAATCAAATATCCCTTCTTACTCAGATGCAGACAGATTCTTTTCCGACAGTGATCACTCCTACTACACAATCTCTTTATGTAAATTGTTCCATACTGTTTTGAACAATTGCAGAAAGCTATGAAATTAATGCTGTTCCACTGCTTTCTTACACATTTTTTTCGGCATGAAAATTAATATTATTGATGGATAGCAGTGGAATCCAGGACGCGCTTTTCGTCCTATTTTGGACTCGTCAGCTGGATGTATCTGCCTCCCACTGAGCGATGTTGCTTCCACTAGCAACAACAATAAAAATCAAGTTTAAAAGTTGTTCTTTATTACTAGAATTGTTCACTGTACTAACAATAGTTGAGGGAGATATATGACTGGCAAGAACGTATTCATATATGTTCTAGAATGACTACACAGCATTCTCAACGCATCGATCAACCAGACAATAATTCGTTGGACTTCATCGCTTGGTACTAAACACTGAAATCAAACGGTATCTATGGACATTGTTACTAGTTAGTGTTTGGGAAAGGCGACGAAAGAAAGTAAAAGTGATCATGGAATTGTAGATGTTCATTGTTTGTGTATTTCAAACTGATCTCCAATTACTGGATAGATGTGAAATAGAAGATATAACATAATTACAGGCTAAACTCTTCTAACTTATTCATGCACAAAATATTCAGTGTACTCAAACAAGAGAGATAGACAGACAAATGGATAGATAGACAAACAAACAGAGCAAATGTTAATCAAATATGTGAAGTTAAATGTAATCTAGGAAGCATTAAAAGTGTATTAGGAATGAAGAACAGACTTTGATCGGTTGCTTGTATGATGATACAAATGAATTGAGTATATCTATCGATAAAAGCCCTTGTTCCCGTTCTCGCTCTTTCTCTCTCTCTCTCTGTCTTCGGAATTCAGTGATTATATGTGTTTACTGTATTTATGGATGTTGGTTAGCTAATGATACTATCGTTAGTATATGACATGACATAACGTACACTCAAAATTGTGGTGTTGAATTTTGGTCATTAATTGAGTACAAGACGTCTGTACTCATTCTATTAACAGACTCCTCATTAGGGATATATTTACATCTCAGTGAATGTCGATCTTGAATGCGGTGTTGGTTAATGTTATTCAGCGCTTGGATGTATTTTATTATGGTTGGTTAGCTTATTACACAATGATATCATTTTAGCAGTAATCTGTTTTTCATATGTTACTATCATTTGGTATTTCTTTCTCAGATCCGTTTAATACGTACAACACCGCCAACGACAACTGATGACTACAAGTCAAGTTTAAAGCTGTCACATAAAGTTTATGAACAGTACCAAATTCATGTTCATAAGGATGATATAAGCGATTGTACCTGGGATCAATTTCAAAGATTTCTTATTACATCTCCTCTGGTAATGGTAAGTTAAAACAAAAAGTTGATTTTTTTTATTTATGCTTATTATACTACTATTGTCATTATTAGTAGTATCATTATTGTTACCATCGTTATTATGTTTCAATTTGGAGCACGCTTGGTACATCAGCACTAAACGATGTGCCATGCAGGTAACACTAAGAAGAGAAAAATATGATACAGAAAGAAAGAGAGCAGACATGTGTTGTTAGAGAAGCGATCTCAAGGGTAAATTCAAAGAAGCATTCATCGCTTCCATTTTACCTTAGAAACAAGAAAACTGCATTATGATCACCGATGGTTCTGAGACGGATCTGTTATTGTCTATAGCCACTGAGTCACGACCTCATCCATGGAGTTGTACGATACCAATAGATGCTAGGCCAACATAACTATCCTTCATCCTACGACACCGTTATTCACCTCTCTGCGTCTTCCAAACAGTCTCAGGGTAAGCGAATAGTGAACGGTGTGTGAGTTGTAGGAACGATATTCGTGACACATATCAAAGCGATGCAAACTGGTGTTTCAAGATTACCACACTTAGTGAATGGTGATCCCCATCATATCCAAACACATGCCTCCTCATCCTAGAATTACTTACGTAGTGTTTCCACTAGATGCTAGCAATCCTACGGAGGCAGCAGCAGGTGAGTGAACAAACAGAGTCCTTGGATAGGTTAGGATTCACAAGTGTAAAGCGTAAGTGCCTGCACTGACGTATTGTATGCTCGATTTTTTACAGCAAGGCTAACACCAAGATGGCACCAAAGGTAACCCAGCTTGGCGTATGCCACTCTGGTTTTCAATATCTCACTGGCAATTTTATCATTCATAGCTCCAATAGCACTCATGCAAGCGCCCAGATATACAAACGTTTCTACTACTTCACACTGTTCACCACCGAGGTTTAGTGTGCAGGTACAGGCTCCTGCCAATTTTGTAGACACATTTTGCATTCTGATAGTGCAAGGTACTCATGATATTGGTTGGATCTATGTAATTTGTAGTAATAAGGTTAGGTATATAGTCTTAGGTAAAAGAAGTAAGTCAGTTGTTGAGGTCATGTACTTTCAACAACCGAGGTGACTGGGGCATATGTTGAGCAAGCCCGGTCATTATCTATCTCGGTGTACAATATTCACCTAAATAAGTTCCAGATGGAGAAAGTTAAGAGTGACTAGACTAAAATGTATCACTAATCCATGGTACATTTCTTGGTACCCATATTTTATTATTCATTTATTTTTTCTATCGTTTCTTATAGGTTTTTAGTGTTTTAGTTTACTTGGTTAACGCGTTAGGTGGTTGGTGATAGTCAACAAGAAGTTCTGCTTGACCTAAGTTCCATGCTTGTCGTCACTGGTTAGCAAGACGTATCTGCAAACGCTGAGGGAATTGACTTCATTTCAGATATTTGAAGCTATACCACCACCTAATACTGTAGTCACAGACGTTACCACGGAGCTATTAATGCTGTGATTGTTCTCTCATAGGACTGGGTTAGTATGTGTCATTGCGTAACATCCAGTCTTATAATAGTTGTCACACACCAATTGTTGTTGCTATACGCTATCTAAATTGCAGTTTCTAGTCAATCTATGAGCTAACAAAAGTTGAATGTTAGTCATCATCGTCATCATACGAAATATATTTACTCTTCATTGTCAACTTTTAATGGGTTTGTTTTTAAAGATTATTGACTTGGTTGTGGCTAGCAGTGGGATCCAGGATGGGCGTTTCGTCCCGTTTCGGACTCCTCAGTTGCATGTACATACACTCCAGTGCGTGGTATTTTTCCTACTGAGACTTAAACCTCGTACCCATCGCTTCAAATGACAAACGGTTATCCACCGAGGCACGATAGTCACCTCTTGTATAGTGGCTATCAGTTATTATTATTTGTTGATGCTTATGATTCTCCGTTGTTATAGTGGATCGACCCCTGTTGGCATAGGAGCCAAAAGAGGTCCTCCTACCTCGACGTGGCGTGCTAGGGGAAGTTGGACTAGATTAGGTAATCAGACAAAAACGTGGCAGCAGTTCATGAATTCCCTGACTTGGTCTGAGCTGTCTGGGGAGATGTAGACTACTTCGTTGCGGTTGCCGAAATGATAAGAATTAGTGGTTGAGGACTCTAAACTGATGAGAAATCGGTGTCAATGGCCCAGATGTATTTATTCTTTGACATTGTAAGTTTGAATATTCGCACTCACTTTTATCTTTCACGAAGTCGCGAAACGTCAGAAATTTTTCTACTTCATTGGATTTTACAAAATATATTTCATTTTTATCTTCCAGTTCTTTATTCTCGCATACAACTTTATCTACTTTGATATAACTCCACCTCTTCTTTGTGTACTTCTGTAAAGTGTGGCAAATTGAGCCCATGCACTTGTGTGCGAGGTTCTACCTTGATTTCATCAGTCAGTCGGACAGTTTAATCAATCAATGGTATCCAGAAAAAAGAACTCCAAACGTTTGCAGCAACTGAATGCATGTTCATGCGTAATACAATACGCAACACTTATTGTTTGAAAGCTAATGATACTATCTGACTATTCAAAGCCTCGGTAAATAGAGTGGAGTTGGAACCCATGGCCCACTAGTTGGGAGTCGATTACCCTAACTGTTTAGCCATACTGTACGTGGTATAGAATTCAGAAGTAGAAATGAAGAATAGTACAATGGTTTTAATAGTTCAGCGATAAGACTGAAAAAGATGAAAGAGAAGAAAATACTCAACTACATTTAAGGTAGTAAGATGTTCACGAATTACGTTTTGATAAAGCATTCCATATATTTTAGGAGTATTAAGACCAATTATATATTATTATTATTATTAGTCCCTTGGGTTCCTAGTGGAACATAGGGCTTCAGTAGCACGTCTCCAGTGACCTCTGTTCTCTGAGATCTTTTGAACCTGGTTCCACGACAGCCCACAAGCTCTCATTTCCTCCTCGCACGACCTCCTCCATGTCACCCTCATCTCGGACACCCAACTCGTCGCTTCCCATGGGGATTCCACTCGAGCAACTGGCCTGACGCGTGATGTCCTCATTCGGCCTTCTCAGTGCATGCCAATCCATCTCCACTTCTTCCTGCATATTTGTTGAGTGATAGGTTCTTGGTTGGTTCGTTCCCAGAGTTCCTTGTTGTTTATTCTCATTGTTCTGGCAATCCATCTGATCTTCAGTAGCGAGCCAGCGTAAGCAGTTGTTGATGAATGTCTGTAGTTTATTGGAAATGCCTTTCGTGACGCGCCAAGTCTCTGAACCATACAGAAGCACTGACTTGACGTTGGTGTTGAAAATCCGTATCTTGTTCCGCATGCTGAGTGCAGAAGATCTCCACACTGGTTTCAGGCTAATGAACACCTGTCTTGCTTTTCGGATTCTGACTTTGACGTCCTCGTCCGTCCCTTCTGTAGTTGAAACAGTGCTTCCTAGATAAGTGAAGGAGGTTACTTCCTTTAAGTTTCTCCCGTTGATGGTGACTGGAGTTTGTTGTTGTTGTTGATGGTGGTGGTGCGGTATCTTCATCACTTCTGTCTTCTCTATATTCACCTGAAGTCCCGTCTTCGCTGCCTCTTCTATCAACTTGTTAGTTTTTGCCTGCAGATCTTCAAGTTTATGTGACATTAGGCACAAGTCATCGGCGAAATCCAAGTCTTCTAGGTTCTTTTCCGCAGTCCAGCGTATCCCCCTCTTCTCACAGCTCCCACTGTTTGCTGCATGATCCAGTCCACCACAATCAGGAATATCATGGGGGATAGTAGGCAACCTTGTTTCACTCCTGTCTTCACTTCAAAAGTATCACTGAGCTTCCCATTGTGAATTACTTGGCCGGCATGTGGCATCTTCATATAGTTGTTGAATGAGGCGGATAAAGGTTTGCGGTACTCCGTAGTATTGAAGCAGTTTCCAAATTACTTCTCGGTCGACGCTGTCAAAGGCCTTCTCAAAGTCGATGAAGTTGAGGTAGAGAGCTGATTGCCATTCTATGCTCTGTTCTATGATGATGCGAAGCGTTGCAATTTGGTCTGCACATGATTTGTACTTCCTATTAAGACCAATCAAGTATGATAATAGTTACACATTTGGTATCCAACTCATATAATGTTAAACGAAGAGTAGTATGCTGTTATATTTATCAAGCTGTGGTTTAGTAGATTATTCCCTCTACCTCCAAGCACTGAGTTAGTGGTTCGATCCTCACTTTGATTGGTTTTCGTAGTTGGAGCAACCAGTTATTACCACAGCCCTGATACAAGTTTAGAGGAATCTGTATATGATTGTTGAGAAGTGATTTGTTAGGAATTCGAAGATGTTAATTGATCCTGAATTCTCAAAATTAAGTTAAAATCTCCTTCAACTAAGAGACTATCTACTAAAGAGTGTAGAGTATTGATCAGTCTGACGATTTTGTTCGACTGTCTGCCACTTTTAGTGTATTTGCTTTCTGATCAAAGATATGAGGGTTTGTTGGTATATCATCGGTGACCAACATTTTTCTTCCGAAATCTTATGTCATCAACACTAAAACAACAAGGTTTCATGAAGTGTTTTGAACTATTTTGGAGGATTAAGTTGAGAAAGGTTAAAGTAGGTCAGATTAAAACATATCCACAGTCTATAAAGTCCTTAACAAATGGTTTTAGTAGTGTATAGAGTTGTAGACCCTACCAGCTGTATCCCATATGACAACCAGAAACATTGGTTAAACAATCGAACAGATATCGCTGAGAATGACAAGTATTTCAATTTGCGTAGTATAATAATAAAAACACGGGGGTTAACTAACAAATATGATGTATTTATGCAATCCACTTCCAACAATATGGTCACACACATTTGATTGTCAAGGCATTTTTATGAGCGCTGACAATAGGATGGCGTAAGGTAAGTTAATGTAAATAATACGAAATTTCGAGAATATAGAGATAATAAGGAAGAATTATACACTTCTACACATCTTATGCCATTAAAATAAGATGAAGATTAC